TATATATATATATATATTATAACATATATTATAACATTAGAAAAGAATTATGAAATTTTTTTGTTTTTTTTTCTTAGTGATGATTATGTTAACCAATATGCAAGTTCAGTACCCAAAAAAACAGATGAACAAAGTGCATTAAATAGAATTTTACATGAAACAGCTGCGTAAGTATTTGTTTACTTTTCTAGATTTATATGTTTATGTTATTTTTTTAATACAATTATTATTATATTATTTTATACAATATGATTAAAAATGAATTTATTATTATTAAAAATAATTAAAAAATTTAATTTCAGTAATGTGATAGATGTTGGAGCATTAGATTCGCACAATTTAGAACAACATGAATATATGGATAGATCACGTGCATATTCAAAACGTATAGAAGCTGGAGGTATTAAAGTCCCTGATAGTACATCTTGTCTACTTAAAGATGTCCCTGCTCCAGAAAAAATATTAGCAGCAGATCCTCTTGCAGCTGGAGATCATGGGCTGGTAAATATATATATAATATTTTTGTATTGTTATATGTTTAATGTTTACAATGTATTGAATAATTAATTTATTTAAATTTACTTAAATTTAAATTTTATTTACAGATTACAGAAATGCTCAATAAGGCTGTGACAGCATTAGAAGATGTAAATGTTGAACATAAGGAAGATTTAGTAGTTCCTTTCTTATCGTGATCTTTTGGCATTTCCTCAGCAAGATTATATCCTGCTTGAGTGAAATCATTGTACTATGTGACATTAAAAAACATGTCTTTTCAAAATCAATTTTCAATAAGTTTATCTGAATTTACTTCAGATTTTACTTGAATATGAATATTGATTATGCATTATAATATGGTGTATTATAAATGAAAGTACAGGTACTATTTCTTAATAACATGTTAAAGTGGCTTGACAGTTTCTGAATATACGAAATTGTTTTAAAATGTTATAAATTAAGATATTTCCAAATGACCAGTTTTTAATGAAAGAGCTGAATTTGGTAGTGCTTTTCCATAACTTATATATAATATTGTAAAAAGTTAAAACACTGTTATTAGTCTTTGCTAAGGTGTATATCAAGAAACAATATAAAAAGGCTATTTTGTCATAATTTAATAAATGGCAATTTACTTATAAATTTATCATTTTTCGTATTGAAATTGCAAAAATTAAATTTTATTGAATCAATAAATAATTTTTTTAAATTTTATCAATACTGAAAACATTTCTAACATAAATATGATAGATAAAATGTAGATTCAATAACAATCAATATTCATAAATGACTGAAATATTTACATTATTTATATTATAAATTGTATATTTTAATTATATTCACATTTTGTTTTTTTATACTATATAAATTTTGTCTCCTTTCTTATTTCATCTTTATTATATTGTTGCAAGATGTGTTTGTATAATGTCTCAAACAATCAAATTCCTAACTCAAACATAAATTTGTGATATTTATATAAATTAATGCTATTATTAATGTTATATTTTCTAATCATTATCACTCTTCTTATATGTATTTTCTTTCTCACAAACAAAATTTGTTAATTTTATATTTTATTAAATGTATAATAATTGTTATTTCACTTATGATTCTTTATTCATTTATATGCGTTAAATAAATGATAAATTGCAAAATAATATATTATTTATGAATAACAATTACTTTGAATAAAAATAATTATAACCAACAGTAATGTTCAAACATTGTATAATCGCACTTGTTATATTAACACATTGCAGCTTATTAAAATAATAAAAATAAAGTAATTAGTTTATTATTATTTGTATATAATAATAAGGTTTATTATTATTTATTATTTATATATATATATATATATATATA